AAAAAGTTTTTGCAGGGCATTGATAAGGTGTGATTGGCCAGATTTTAGAAATTCATTTGAAATCTTATCTTCAGCAGTTGCTTTGTTATATTTTAATAACTTTATTGCTTTTATGATTTCACTTTGCAGGATTGGTCCATTAATATCTGGATTATCATTCATGTCTCTCTCCAAGGCGTTTAGTTCAGAATTAATGTTATTGTTTAGAGTAGTATTGTCTTCCGTTGGTGGATTTAGCAATTTATTAAAGTAATTTAACCACTCATTTGGTGTTATTGAATTATGTATTTCATTACTGTTTCTATCATCATCTAAATCTCGTAATAATTTCCAGAATTTAGAGGAATCTCCCTTTAAAATCTCAAGTTCATTTAGTTGCAAAACTTTAAATTCATTTCTCTTTTTTTCAGTGTTTTTTTATATTCCTTTTTAATACAGAAAAATCTGCCTCTTGGATATTTCTTCAGAAGAGATGAAATATTTCTAAACTCTTTTTTAAGTGACCAACAGTCTTGGTCAAACCATAATTGCTTTTTCTTTTTGGGATTAGTATTCTTTTTCTTTTTTGGTGTTATTTTTTTCAGGCTTTTGTCAGCTATGGATGAGACTAATGAAATAAAATCAGAGACAGGCTTGGTCGGGTCTTCATAGCTGTAATTTGTGATTGATAAATGTATTAATTTCACCATCCTTTGCCATTTGTAAAGTTGACAAGAATTTATCTTTTCCCTGATCATCCCAAATATATTTTGCTGGCATTGGTTGTAGATTGTAGTTACTCTTAACTATTGTTCAGCCATATTATTTACTTTTAGTGAAAGAGAGATCGAGCAGTGGTCTGAAATGTGTGTTATGTTTTGTATTCTAAAATACAAATGTTTTGATGTTATTGCATAATCGACAGTGCTGCTACCTCGTGGGGTATGACAGGTTAGTTTTCCCATGGAATCGCCAATGGTTCGTCCATTTAGAATTACTAGGTTACAGTCGAAACATAATTTAATTTAAGTAACGACCACATTTATTAACACTGCATTTTGAATTTATGTCCTTACTATTTCTTATTCTGAAATCGTCTTTGATATAGCCATCGGGAGTAGGTAAGTGGTCACTGTTTTCATCAATAATTGTGTCGCTTAGGCTGCTTATACGCGAATTGAAGTCTCCCATAAGTTATCTGTAATATGTCACCTTGTGAAGAGAATTGCGTAATTTCACTCTCCAAGTGTTTAAATAAATCTGTATCATTATGTTTATATATAGGTGAATTTTCTGGTGGAATATAGATACATCCTATAAATAAGTGTTTACCAGTTGTAAGAACGGATTTATCAATTTTGCACCAAAGGAAATCTGTTTTATTGTTGTTTACAACAGTAATGTATTTAGTAAATTTGTTTTTGAATAAGACAGCAACACCTCCTCGCTGGCGCTTAGCAGTATTTTTATAACGATCCAATCGAAAAAATTCATAATCAGCTAAGGTGGTTGGCATACGGACCTGATTAGTGCTATGAAGCCAT